CCTTTTTCTTTCTTCATGTATGTTGTTCTTAATATAATTCATAAATCTTCTGGTTTTCAGTCAGTAGTGTCTAATACATCAAATCTGTTCTTGAGATGGTATCTGTATTTTGAAGGACAAATATATGTATGAAGTATAAATCTATGAAAATTAGAAGTCATCAGAAATGAACTGGAACACATAAAGACTGATATCTTAGACATTAATGAGGTGAAATCAACTGACGTTAGCTATTTGAATTGGCTAATCACATTGTTTACTATACTGGGAATGACAAATTGAAGAGGAATGGCATCACATTCATCATCAAAAAAAGCATTCCAAGATCTATTCTGAAGTATAATGCTGTCTGTGATAGAATAGTATCCATATACCTACAAGAAAGACTTATTAATACAACTATTATTCAAATTCATGCACCCAACCATTAAAACCAGTGATAATATTCTACTAATTTCTTCAGTCTCAAATTGATGAAACAAGCAATGAAAATGCATTGATAATTACTGGTGGTTGGAATGCAAAATAGAAAGTAAAAGGAAGCATCTGTAGTTGCGGACTATGGCTTTGGTGATGAAAAGATACCGTAGATAACATGACTGAATTTTGGACGATCAATGACTTCTTCATTGCAAATACTACCTTTTTCAGCAGCATGAACCATGACTGCATACATGGAACTAACCAAATGAAATACAATGAATTAAATTGATTATGTTTGTAGGAAGAGACTATGAAAACACTCAATATGATCAGTCAAAACAAGTCCAGGGACCGCTGTGCAATAGGACATCAATTGCTAATATTCTCGTTCAGACTGAAGCTGAAGAAAATTAAAACATGTCCATGAGAGCCAAATATTACATTGAGTTGTGGTGTTGAAGGAGAATATTGAAAGTGTCATGGGCTGCCAAAAGAACCAACAGATCTGTGTTGGAAGAAGTGCAGCCAGAGTGCTCCTTGGAGGCCAGGATGGCCAAACTTCATCTCTCATACTTCAGACATATTGTCAAGGAGGGACCAGTCACTGGAGAAGGATATCATGTTTGGTAAGGTGGAGGGTAAGAGAAAAAGAGGAAGACCCCCAATGAGATGGATTTGCAAAGTGGCAGCATCAATGGGCTCAAGCATGGGAGGTTGGCCCAGGACTGGGCAGTGTTTCGTTCTGTTGTACATAAGGTTGCTATTAGTCAGTACTGACTTGATGACACCTAATAACAACATATTATTATTATCATGAAAGTTGAACAATAAGACAGATAGTAGCGGAATTGAAACATTTGAGTTATGGTATTGGAGAATATTAAAGGTCCCATGGACTACCAGAAGAACAAACTAATCTGTGTTGGAAGCAGTGATGTCAGAGCCCTCCTTAAAAGCTAGAGTGACAAGACTTCATCTCTCATATTTCAGCCATATTATCAGGAGAGACCAGTTCCTGGAGAAGGAAATCATACTTGATAAAGTGGATAATCAGAGAAAAATATGGAGCCCCCCAGTGAAATGGATTGGCACAGTGGCAGCAGCAATGATCTTGAGTGCAGCAGCAATTGTGAGGCGCTGGACTGGGCAGCGTTTTGTTCTGTTGTACATAGATAGGGTTGCTATGTGTTGGAACCAACTTGATGGCACCTAACAACAACATAGCAGTCATTATAATATGTGTTGGTGTGGGAAAGACAGTTGGCATCCAAACTTCATTTAACAGATCCATGCTTAGAACTAAGAGATTAAGAAAATGCTCACTGTAAATGCAGGTGTATATTTGGGGGTGGAGTGTTATAAAAATGAACCAAGAATTAGCGAGTGACCACAAGTCTGTAAAGGGGGGATACACACAAATGGAAGAGGATTCAGTCTCTATGTGTTCTAAGTTAGAAAAAAAATGTTTGCAGTGGAAATTTTTGATAATTCATTTCACAGTAACACTTTTAATGAGATCAATATAGTTCTCTCCATTGGGAGGATATATTCCTTTGAGGGGCTGCCTTAACAAGCTCCCTGGGGAGTCACATTTATCACACCAGGAAATCTTAACCTTTCCACAAGTAGAAACATTGGACAATCAGACCACAATAAATCCAAATACTTGGGAACTGTGCTATGTGACATAAACCATAAAGTATGGCCTAGAGCTGATGAAATTCATGCCAAGATCCTGCAGAGTATAAACTGCCCTCCATTCTTCCTGAGTTCTGGCTTCTTTGCATAAACTCCATCATGGAAAACAAAGCTGGACAGCCAAGAGGAGGGTACGTTCCATACTGTTTGGTAGACAGGATAAGGAAGGGTGGGAAGATGCTTAGGTATGTCACTGGGGAATGGGTTGGTCTCAAATGGTCAGACTACAAAGCTTTCCATCTAGAACCTTCACAAAGGCCCCGCAGCAGCTGGTCCTAGCCATTGGGACAGGAAAGGGCTTTCAGCAAGTGCTCACTGACCCTGTCTCAGGGAGTAGGCAATTCAGCTCCAATGCTGCCCATTTCTGTGTGTTCCTGGGGATCCTAACCCAATCTGTGGGAAAGACCAGAAATTGTTCCTCTGTGTGTAAGTAATCATTGATACTGGCTGATGGTTATCGCAGAAGAGAAGGACAGGAGGCTAGCAGAAATGATCAGATTTAAGAAGGAGAAAGGAAGACTCATTCATGTGGATGCCTTCCTTACCCTTCTGGACCACAGAGTGACATCTGATGTCCACTCTGTCAGAACATATATCTCTAACTCCTATCAGACCTGTCCCCTCCTGGTCACACATATGGCAGTAGATGTCCCTGGATCTGTGTGCCCACCCAAAGGGACATAAAACCCAACCAAGCCTGTTTCTTCTATTTATAAATGAAGAATGTGACTCCAGAGTGTCATGTAACTTGCCCTATGACCTATCTTTCCCTTCTTCGCCTGTTAAGGAACCATCTTTTCCTGCTATATCCCCAAAATATCCTTCAGCCAGAGAAGCTCAGTGGTTCAAGTTCACCAACTGCTCCTTGGAAACTCTATACAGGGTCACTATGGGTCAGAACCGACTCAGTGGCAATAACAACATGTTTCTACTACCTGGTTTTGTGTTTTCTATCTGTCAAGCAATTTTTTTACTTCCTGTTTCTTCCCTTTTCCCCTCTGTTTTCTACTGAAGTGATTTTTAAAAAGCATTGGTTGCTTGTTTCACTTTCATCTTAGAAATCATCATTTCTGTCCATTCTTTAGGTGATTTAATTATTTAAACCCAACAATAATAGAACATTCTAACAAATTTGAACTTTTTCAGTATTTCAATTCTTTTCAAGAATATTAACACTCTTGAACTATTTAGCAAACATTTCCTTTAAGGATTACATTTCTTATTGTTTTTAAATATTAACAGTTTGCACACAAAAATAATTATGTTCGAGTCCTGTATAGACCTTCTGAAGCTTAGAAGCTTTGAAGCTTAGGGAAAGCGAAAAGATTCATCTTTCTCCCTCGCAATACCTAGCCGGATCTAACCATGGACCTTGCAGTTCACAGTCTAGTGCTTATTGTATGAACCTACCCACTCCCATTCGATTCCATAGATAATAAAATTTATCAAGGTATGCTATTAAGACAGGCATTTTAAATCCACCAATGGCTCCATGGGAAAGCGATGAATCTGTCTGCTCCCCAACAATTTACAGACTTGGAAACTCTTATTATTAAGTGCCATTGAGTTGGTTTTGACTCATAGCAACCCTGTATAGGGCTTCTGAGAGGCAGCTGTTAAGTTTGAACCACCAACCTTGTAGTTCAAACTGACCTTCAGGTCCAGAGCTTATCCTACAGCACCACACCAGGGTCTACGCTGTTCCGACTCATAGCAACCCTGTATGGGGTTTCCGAGGAGTGGCTGGTAAGCTTGCAGTCCAAACCGACCTTTCAGTTGAGCACATTAGCCCACAGCGCCACAAGGGGGCTATAGAGGGTCAACATTAGTCAGAACTGACTCAATGATAGTTGGTTTGGTTTGGGGTTTTATATTGTTTTTGTTTGTTTGACTTACTTCTTGGCTTCCTTTCATTCTTATTGAGGAATGTATATTAATAATGAACTCAGCACCAGTAGGTCCTGAACACCCTATGATTACATATCCAGAAATGTATTATTTTGGTCTGTTTCATCCAAGAGCATCTTGTAGATATAATATATTAGATTGATACATTCTGTCTGTATTGACACATCAAAGATATTGTCTTCAGACTCTTTCCTGGTGATGAGATGACTACTTGAATTCCTGAATTGTTATTCTTAAGTAGATAATTTTCTATTACTGTTGGAGCTTTTAAATTTTTCTCTAAATCCTAGAGAAATTAAATTAAAAAATAATCCAACAAAGATTTCTTAAGAGACAAATTAAGCTATATTGCTGTTCTTGTTAAGTGCCGTCAAGTCAATTCCAACCTACAGTGACCCTGTATAGAGTTAAATGCCATTAAGTTCATTCTGACTCAAGGTGACCCTACATGGCAGGGTAGAACTGTCTAGTAGGGTTTCCTAGGCTGTAATCTGTATGGGAGCCAATTGTCAGTTCTTTATCCCATAGATCAGCTTCTTGTTGTTATTAAATGCCATCTAGTCAATTCCGACTCATAGCAACCTTGTATAGGGTTTCCGAGGAGTTGCTCATGAGTTTGAACTGCCAACCTTGTGGTTCAAACCAACTTTGAGGTCAAATGCTTAACCTATGGCATCACACCAAGTAGGTTCAAATTACCAACCTTTCAATTAACACTTAACCGTTATGCCACCCAGCTTCCACGAGAAGCTATCGATTCTATTATAGACCACAAAACTTGTGAAACAAAATTAATGCAGGATTTGCTGGTCAACAATGTAGGCCTTAGGGCTGGATGGGACTCAAGAATCACTGATTGTGGTCTCTGGCGTAAAGTCTCACTCTATAACACGTATATCTTGTGCTGCTTTCTACTTCAGCTTTGGAATTTCTCTCGTAAGTGCATCATTGTATTAGCTCTTTACAAGAGGATGAGCAGCAACCAGACATGGATCACAGAAGTCAGCCTGCTGGGATTCCAGGTCGATCCCGTGCTCGAGTATCTCCTCTTTGGGTTATTCTTGCTATTTTACAGCCTCACCATGATGGGGAATGGTGCCATCCTGGGCCTCATCTGGCTGGACTCTCGACTCCATACTCCCATGTACTTCTTCCTCTCTCACCTGGCTGTCATTGACATGTCCTATGCCTCAAGCACTGTGCCTAAGATGCTGGCAAACTTTGTGATGCAGAAGAAAACCATGGCCTTTGGTCCATGCATACTTCAGACGTTTTTGTATCTGGCTTTTGCTGCCACAGAATGTATGATTTTAGTGGTGATGTCCTATGACAGATATGTGGCCATCTGTCATCCCTTGCGATACACCATCATCATGAGCTGGAGAGTGTGCACGGGTCTTGCCACAACTTGTTGGGTATTTAGCTTTCTCTTGTCTCTCGTCCATATCACACTCATCCTGAGACTTCCCTTTTGTGGCCCACGGACAATCAACCACTTCTTCTGTCAAATCATGTCAGTGTTCAAGTTGGCCTGTGCAGACACCAGAGTCAACCAAGTGGTCCTTTTCGCTGGTTCTGTGTGTGTTTTAGTGGGGCCCCTCTGCCTGGTGCTAGTCTCCTACACTCGAATCCTCTTTGCCATCCTGAAGATCCAGTCTGGGGAGGGACGCAAAAAAGCCTTCTCCACCTGCTCCTCCCACCTCTGTGTGGTCGGGCTCTTCTTTGGCAGCGCCATTGTCCTGTATATGACCCCCAAATCCAGCCATTCACAAGAACAGAGGAAGGTTTTATCCCTGTTCTACAGCCTTTTCAACCCCATGCTCAACCCCCTGATCTACAGTCTGAGAAATGCAGAGGTGAAGGGTGCCCTGCGGAGAGTGCTGTGGAAACAAAGGTCAATGTGATGGGTGGTTTCAACTAGCCTGAGAGTGTGAGCTTGGACCTCATGATACTGTGTTCCTGGATGCCAATCTGAGCCCCAGAATTCATCATTCCAGTGGTCTCTGTCGTTAGACTTCTTATAAAATGAGAAAATAAACCTTATTACTGTTTATACCATTTTAGGGTAGTCTTCTTAGTGATAAGCCAAAAGACTATTAACATTTAGCAGTTCAAACCCACCAGCCAGTCAATAGGAGAAAGATGAGGGTTTCTTCTCCAGTAAAGACTTTTATCTTCTTAAACCCTATACAGGGTCATTATGAGCCTGGACCAAATCAATGGCAGCGGGTTGTTTTGGGGTTCTACTACTTGAAGGTAAAGCCATGCTACACGATACATCAATCATACATAAAAATGAGTGTGTACAATACTCATACATAAAAATTCTATGTAAAGATAGAAAAGAAGGTAATATCCCTCATTTTGTGTTAGAAGGCTAGCATAATCTTGATGCAAAACCTGAGACAAACGTTATGAAACAGAAGATCCCAGTGTAGTTCTACTCACAAACATAGGCATAACTATCTTAAAGACAACAGTAATACAAGAAATCCAGCAAAATAAAACAATACACATTATGAGGAAGTTGTATATAGCCCCCACGTGCAATAATTATTAAACTTAACAGTGAAAATAATTCCTCATATTTACAAATTAAGAGTTAAAAATAATGAAGTCATCTCAGTAATGCCAAAAAAAAAAAAATAAAAGTATTTGGTAAAATTCTACATCAGCTCATATTAAAACTCTTTACAACCTAGTAAAAGAAGTAAGCTTCCTTAAAGAGAATTTACCAAACCAAACCAAAATAGCACACAGCATACTTAATAGCAAAATGCTGAAATTCTTTTCCTTTTAAAATGAGGAATAAAACAAGGATGCCTAATTTTTTTTTTTTTTTTTTATTGTGAGTTATGTGATAGTTTACATGGGAGAACATTACCTTTACATTCATCCTATAGTATATCATTTCATTGCCATGGTTACAATCCCCCCCCACCCATGCATCATCATTCAACCTACAAGCCTGCTCCCCCTCCCCACCCCTGGACATCAACACACAGCCCCTCTCCCTCTTTGGATCTAAAATCCCCAGCTGCTCCATCTCTCCATGTCATCGTCTTTGCCGCCATCTCTGGCGTCACTGCTTCTCTGGGTAGAGTCCCATTCTCCACTCATCTCCTTTGATGGTCTCAGCAACCTCTGCTGCTAGACTGCAAAGTCAATCACTTCCCTCCTTTTGCTACAAAACGTCTACCTTTACATTTCCAACCCTCACAATCAGTCCTGATAACAATGATTCACTATTGTATCACAAGAGACCTATCCACATTTCCTTTCATCAGACCCACCCAGACAGATTGGACACTACTCAGTGGAGATTCTGCCTTCCTCTGCACCCTCTGTATCTAGGCTCTCTGTTGAAAGCTTGTAAGTCAGTCACTTCTTGCCCTTGCAGCCCTCTCCCCCCATTTTGGGTAGCCAATGTCCAAGTTGCCCATCCCTGTCTACTCTGTGTATGGAGGGGGTGGGAATAATCCTTGCTATAAAGATGTGTTCCCACTTTTGAGCTACTGCATCCATAGGTGTAGGTCAAGTTCATCAAATTGTATCAAATTACTCTTTTTTCCTCTCTTCTTTCTTCTTCTAGTTGAGCTCTGATCATCCAGTCACTGAAGCCAGGTCAAGTGGATATTATCTGCAAGTGTGGATGTTCTCATGCATATGCCCTCTCTTCTTATAAGCTGAATGCTTCACTCTCCACTCTAGTCCTCTGTGGCTATGCCACTGACTCTGGGTCCAGGAGTCCCCAGGTCTTGTCACACTGCTGGCCAACCCTGTCTCCACCCAGGTTCACAGGTGTCTATTGAACATGGTAGGGCTTAGCTTGCCAGTTCATTGCTATTTTTCCCTCACTTTCCCTTATCGATGACGAATGTGGTCACCAATCAGAGTGTGTATTCCCATTGAGTCTTAGTCTTGGAAGGAGATTTGCCCTGAGGGGACCCAACAACTTGGCTTGATGTCTCCTGGACGAGCAACTTGCTTGTTCTTGTAGGAATCAGTCAGACTGCCTTTATTGTTTTGTATTTTTCCTGTAGGTCTTTCTTTCACGAAGTATCTTCTGTTCTTCTAGCCTCTCCAGGATGGTCTGCTTGTCCTTTTGAGTAGAAATTTCTCATGTCAGAAGATTCTGGATGGAGTTCAAGATTCCACCTCTTGTCTTATGTAATGCAGAGGCTCTGCAGGAAGCCTTCTTCACTGGTCATGTTGTGGCCCCATTTTTGCTATTCCAGTCAGTTACCAGACAGTCTTATTATGGTGATATTTCTGGCTATTCCTTTCTCTCTCCCTCAAGTGTCTATTTTAAATGATGTCTAAGCATAGTGGTTAAGAATCGGGCTGCTAACCTCATGGTCAGCAGTTCAAAACTACGAGCTGTTCCATGGGAGAAAGATGAGGCTTTCTGCCCTGGTAAAGATTTACAGCCTTGGAAACCCTGTACAGGGTTGCTATGAGTAGGAACTGACTCCACAGCACATCACCACCACCACCAATTCTTGTTTGAAACATTTTACTAGAGACCAGAGCCAGTGCAATTAAACCAAAAAAAGAGGCAGAAACATACACGTGTGTGGATGCACACACAGACACACAAATTATTGGGTACCAACATGGTCACCAGTCAGAGTGCGTGTCTACTCGTGTGTCTGCACTGAGTCTTAGTCTTGGAAGGGGATTTACTCTGAGGGAACCTGATCACTTGCTTTGATGTCTCCTGGGCAAGCAACTTGCTCTTTCTTGTCATAGTCAGTAGAACTGCCATTATTGTTTTGTATTTTTCCTGTTGGTCTTTCTTTCAAGAAGAATCTTCTGTTCTTCTAGCTGCTCCAGGCTGGTCTGCTCATCCTTCTCAGTGGAAATTTCCTACCTCAGCATATTCTGGATGGAGTTCAGGATTCCACCTATGATCTTATGTAATTCAGAGGCTCCACAGAACACCTCATTCACTGGGCATGTTTTAGCCTCATTTTAGGTATTCCAATCAGTTTTAAGCAGAAGATGGACTTACAAGCTTTTTGTGGTGATATTTCTGGCTATTCCTTTCTCTTCCCCTCAAGTGTCTATTTTATAACAGTATGTAAGGGAAACCAAGATTCAAAAGACAGCCAAACATCTTAACATTATTTCCCCCCTTTTGCCCATTCCAACCATGTATCAATCCCTGTATCCTATAGCCCTGTTGTTCCAAGGTTGTGCATACATCATTATTTACCTCTATCCCACTTAGCGCATGCAAACCTGCCTAATAGTTTTTCCATCTGCCTTGTTCTTCCCATCCTTTCCTCCTTCTAGTGTATTGCCCACCTCCTCAGCACCCAAACTGTTCTGTGTCTAATCCCTGCCCTGTGTTCCACCTTCCCCTCCCTCCCCTCATCACACCTCCCACATCCCAGTAACCAGCAAAGAATCCCCCACCCACTTTTAGCATGGGGTCTTTTTCTTAGTCTTTTACAATAGTGGTCCTATGTAGTATTTCTCCTTTTGTGACTAACTAATTTCACTCAACATAATGTCCTCAAGGTTCATCCATGTTATGTGATAGCTGACAGCTTCTTAGTTGTTCTTCACAGTAGGATA